CATCTCGATTCTGAGGCAGTTTTAGTCACAAATTCATTCTGATAGAGAGAAAGCATGCTATGGATTAGTCTGTGACACCAGCTAATAATGGTCGTTTTACCGCATCTATTTCCCTTTCTCTTTTTGTTATCAGTTATATATATTTTTTTACTCCTTCGATTATTTAGATTGATCTGTTGGACCTACAAGAGCTCAGTCAGTATTGATTAACTTTGAAATACAGGCGCGTGCAAAAAGCTTTTAATTTGTTATTCAACTCCAATAGATCCAGTAATTAGCCTCCATTTACTGTCTCTCGCCCTTTAAGATCTTTATGCTGCAATAAAATGTTACTGTTCTTGACACTGTTACCAAAAAACGAAAACGAATTTATTTGATTCTCGACGATAGATCGATGGATGAGTCTTTGAGGAGAGGGAACCTTTTTTTTATCGAAGGTACTGTTTCTTTGTTAAAATGGTAAGAAAAACACTCAGCCTATGTTCTTGGTTTCCTCCAATGTTCGTAATGTGCATTTTAGTTAGAATTTCATTTTTCTTGAAAAAGATGACAGTTTATCAGTCGCCTCCAATTACTCCTCTTCGGCGAGTACTTTTTAAAAACTTTGACTTTCAACTGATTCAACAGAGTCTGTTGAGCGTTTTTTCAATTTTTTTCAACACAAGACGAGTATTAAAATTAAATTATTTAGTGGATCTATCAGCTAAATAGGCGACGAATGAGAGAGTTAAAACCTTTTTCAATTATTTGACGAATTACCCTTTATACATACTCAATGAGGGTTAAAACTATTTTTTTTCTGCTATTTTTTCCAATGTAATTATTCCGTTTGAGATACAAAACGTTGAACCGTCCAAAAGCAGTCTTATCCATGCAAGACATACAGGTCAGTAATATATCGTGTAACTGTAGGACAGTCGATAAGGGACAGGACATTAGATGTCTCTTATGGACTGCGGTTCCTTTCAGCTGCTCGATTAAAATCTTCTTGTGGTTACTTCCCGGATGCTAAGCTAAATTTAATTCTGGTGGCACCCCTAAATCCAGTGTCCTCAGGGAAAATAACATAACAACGCGACATGATATTTTAGGAGAGAGTTTTATATTTTCTGATCTGAGAGTGAAATCGATCTTGTTGTAAGTTAAATTAATATAACACATTATGCTTGAAACATACTATTTATTTAACACTGAAAGAACACATAAGCGATCTCATTTTCGATTATTACGCTTGCTGTATTACTTGCTTCCCCTATTAGGAATTAACATAATCATTCACATTGATCAAAAATAACGTTGTAAAAAAATACGAACTCGTTTACCGTATGAAACATTTTTCCTGAATATATTAAAATATTGTTTTTGTTACTGGACGGGTATTTAAATACAAATGCTTGCGTTTTTCGAGTAGGTTAATGGCTGACATGGTAATTTTCTGTTATAAAAATGTTCACCGAAAAAATCTTTTTGTTATATATTAGAAAAGCTCCTTGCTGCGAAAATTTGCATGATCCCTTGTTGACCTCACGTAATTTTTCGTATGAGATTTACGATTTACTCGTTGATTTTATTGTATTCTTTCCCAGACACTCTGTTCATCAAGCTTCTTTTTGACTGATCGTTAACTCACTTGTTCCGCTATCGAATGCGTCTTGGCAGCCTCCTTCACCGTAAAAAGGTTTGACAGGGGAGAAAAGTTTCAAAAAACTGAATAAACCAGAGTCTAGATGGTCTGTTCATAAGTCTGTGTCCTACTTAATTTTTTCGTCGTCCTCATCATCCGTTGATTCGTCGTCGTTACTAACTCCTGATGTTTCGAACAGTTTGTCCCACTCTTTGATCAGATCTTCGTAAGTGACACGTTCTGCGTCAAATGAACCACTTTGTCCATGTCTGAGAATGAATTCAAGTCCATTTTGAACCGCGTTCGCACTCAGTTCTCCCATACTTGTTATGATACGCAGCGGTTTGTCTGTAATTTCGCTTGCCTTTCTTCTAATCTTAGTCATTTTCTTCTTAAAACTCTTTCGCAGGCGATTTGGAGGCACAAAATAGCGAACTTCTTCTAAGTTGACCGCCCATTGAACTCTCTTGTCGGGCAACAAACTGCCGGTACACCTATCGTGGTTGAAACTATCCATCGTGTTTGTTTGTCAACACAAGATATCTTACTGACTGAGGCTGTTGGATGTGATCTTATATTCACACAACTAGCATCGACATCAAGTAGTGGCACTGTAGTCAGCAGTACATCCATAATTTAACCACTTGGATTTTCCCACGCAATGTCGCGTTTAATAGTTAGATATTTAATTGCCAAGTTCCCAAAGGGAAGCGGGGATATTTTTAGGTTCATTGACGAAAGCCAATTTCTATTTGGAAAGTTTAAATTAATTCATTTGTTCTACTCGCGTCATAGCTGGGAGTATTTGCGTCAGAAAACCTCAGTGGCGAAAAAGACTAGAATTTTCTCTTGTTCATTTTGCTTCATTACGTCTCAAAACCAGAATCTTTTTTCGTTGTTGAATATATTTTCTTCATCTTCTTTTCTTCTCGGTTACTATGTTTTTAATTCATTTTTTGCTAGATTATTTCTCAAAATGTTGTATGGTCATATTGAATATGCAACAACCCCAAGAGCTGACGAACAGGTGTCTTTTACGCGATTGGTTACCCTACTAAGTGACTGACACTTGGCTGTCGGAAGTAATAAATGATTCTCTATCAAGTTTTATGAATACGTGATGGTTTTTTGTCTCCCAGAAAAACTCACGATTGGCAATTGAAAGTTCTTCGGGAAGTCTTTCTCAAATTTCATATCGCCTAAAAAGCATCACATATCGCCTAAAAAGCATCACATATCCCATTAGCTACTAACACCTGTTTAGATTCTGTATTTGTTTGCCATATTCACTCAAAACGCGATTCCACGCACGGATCAAAGGCACTGGAGAGATTCGCCTGCGGATGAGATAAAGAATCGTTGAAAGCGGAAACCACCAGAACACATGACATAAACAAGTAGCCTGTTGATTCTGATATCCACCCATAGCACCAAATTGCATTGCAATTTATAAAGAATGTACAGAGATAAGTCTTTGAGATGTGTCACTACCTTTCATAAACTCTAGGTTCTTATTTTGAGTGAGAAGCTTTTTTTCAATTTTTCTTGCATCGAAATACGTAGGTCAAACTCAATTTGTTTAGTTGCGACGATCATGTTCACTTAAGCGAGTGTCAAAGTGTGACGTTGTATTCGTTTAACTGTCACGTATCGGCACACTATTCTTAGCCTTTAAATGCAGTTAACTTAGTCAGTACGTCATGTATTACAAATTAAGTCTTTTTATTATACAGTAGTACCGGCATTTAATCAAGAATTCTTCTTACAGCGTCTCTTTTTGCACAAATATAAAGCTAACCATAGATAAGAATGAATGGCATATCATAAAAGTAACATTAAGCCAGCTCCTTGCTGCTAACCTTTTCTCCAGCTTGTTTGTGGTAGCCTATTGCAGCCAGCTTCTCAACTGTGATAACTATGACGAAACCACGACAAAAATGGACAGCGGCAAAACAACAGAATGGCACAACGCGGTCCTACAACTTTCTCAATGTTACCCTTTGTAATGCGTTTTTACACGTTGATCTCTAGGATTGATGGTTCGGGAATGAATTTATTGTGGATTCTTTGCTATTGTGTTTCTTAAATTTCCTCTCCTTTAGTTACATGTTTGACTGGTTCAGATAGGTGCCAGTCAACTTCGGTACTTACGCCATGAACACCGTGAGGCCGTTGGGTTATTTTTTCTCTTTAGTTTCTCTCTGTTTGGGAGCAGGAAGGATCAAACAGCGATAGAAATAGAAGACATCGCACGCCAGCGACCCGCCCTTAACTTGAGGTGCATCATTATATTCTAAACGTACGCGTGGTTACTTATTCTAGAGCCTGGCTAGTTAGCCGGAGATGGGCATTCTAGGCCTCCCTCTATACAAAAAGATACCATTTCATCTAAAATTGCGACCCACGGAAATTGGCTCACCCAATTCAGCGGAAAAGAAAAACGAACCAGTCTTCCAGCAACGATTAATGGGAAAAAAGACGAAAACTCCTTACAAAAGACAAAAAAAGACAAACTCATTCAACTTACAACGCAGTCAGTGTTTCAGCATGTAGAGAAACCAAGTCAAACACATTTAAGAATCAAAGTGAGTTGTTGTGCAAATTGAACTGCGAGGATTTTCCGACATTGTAAAAATTGCGACGTGTCTCTCTAGTGCGTTTGATTTGCGAATGGAACCCGTCAAAAACGCGTTCGTCAAAATCTGGAACCCACAAGGAATGGAACGCGCGTCACGTGTTTAGTCTAGACAAAATCCCACCAAAAAAACCTTATCAAAAAAATTATTTCTTTAGCGGTAATTTTCATCTAAAATAGACCCGCCTGTAGATTAACTTGAGCGTGAGGATATTTTGATGTAGTTTTTTCAGTGGGTACGCTTCTAAAGAAATTGTGGTGAAGCAATGGTGAGGGCGAGATAATTCAGTTTTATTAAATGTGTTGATGGTATGAATTGGCCGCCTCTGAGAGTTTCTAAGGCCGACTTTCCGAGCCCTAAGTCTGTATAATGTTATCTTTCCGTTTCATATTTTAATAACAATGATGATGATAATGATGATGATGATAAATAACAATAATAATAATAATAATAATAATAATAGATAAAGAACTGAATATTTTATTTGGGCCGAAAGTAGTTAGGCTAACAATTGAACGTTCCCAGAAATGGGTTATTTCACAGAACTGTGAAATTGTAAAGAGATTTTCGTGCGTGTAACTATGCAAATGCATGAATACAGCGATATAATAGTTGAGAGAACAGATTTTAGCTTTGTATACTGAGCCTCTTAAGTACGTGAACATAGGTAGTTGCAACCGGAAGTGATATTTAGAAAACACCTGTAGGGAAATTTCCCAGAAAACCACCGGATGCTTGTTTGTGATATCAAAGATTGCTTCCATAAGCACTTTTTCACTTGCAAGAAATTTCAGAAAATATACATAAGAGAAAGCGTTGCAACGGTGATCCTTACTGGAAAAATGAGTGAACAGAATTTAAACACTATCTTAAATCGTTTTACTGCTAATATTGTTCAGCTTCGTCAACAAAGGAAAATAGAAGCCCTAAACTGTTGGGAGCCTATCGTGAAAGAAATCTTAGAATATGTGAAAACGAATGATGACCGATTCAGTGCTCTTCAAATCTTACCCACAGGAAGCTATTATGAAAGGGCCAAAGTAAAAGAGCCCGATGAATTCGACCTGATGTTAATCATGGATAATTTAGAACTGGATGACGCACCATTTGAAGAAGACGATGGCTTCAGCGAGCCACCAATCGGTAAGATTAGGCCTGTTTAGACACTGACTTTTCATGAAGAAGACCTTATTTGAATTTGGACCGATTCAAACTCCAAGAAGTGTGCCAGTAATACAGTTCAAGGAAATCTTCGTAAATGTTATGATTCAGGATTTGGTTTGGGAAATGTAGGGTTCGGTGTCTGATTCATGCTAGAGCCGCTTCAAAACCGTTTGAAATGTGTCCAAATTCCCCGACCAAGCACAACGGTAAGAACACTCTTGCCGTTCCAAGTTCAATTAGCCGCTCTAAATGATTCAGAAGCCGAACTTTTAGTTTACCTAACTGAATAGTTGGAGGCTGAAACCGCATCTTAGCCATTCAAAATTGCAGAGCTTGATCAATTCCGCCATAAGTGCGTTTTGTACGGAAAAATGTACAATGTAGAGATACGTGATTTAAAATGGGGGAAGAACCATGATGACTCTGTGTTAGGACATCGACATTATCACTTACTAAAAATTCTTGAAAGGAGGTGGATTTCAAGGGTTACATCAAGGCTTACAGTTTGTCAATTTGGCCGACGCCTTGCCCTCAATGAAACCTTTGGATTTTCCCAAGACAAGGTATTTTTTATGTCTGATGATCAGCTAATGATATACATTTCAAGTCGAGAAAACCATTTCTGTACCATCAAGGTAATACATATCAAAATAAAAATTAAGTCTACAACCACTATGTCCTCTCAGCCATAAGGTTCTTATCTAAAAGTCCTATTTTTAAAAATGTCACCTAAACTCCACCAGATTAATAAGGGTCAACTTGTTTTATTCCTTTCCAGTATTTCTTCTGTTGTAAGTCCTATTGTTCAATAGACCACAACAATGATCAAGTGTTAAAAAATACAAGAGTATGATCAAGTTTTCCTCACTTTGCAATACCAACAAGTCAGGGGGTATTTTAGTCAAGTTACTTGTTAGAAAGACTAATTTTGGGTTGTTGCTTCTCACTGCTTGGAAAGAAATATATTGGCAAGCAAGAAGTGACCACTGGAAATAGGTCAGGTGAAGGAAAAGCAATAACCAGAAATACCCTTGCCATTCAGGCTGAGTCACGGGCAGAAACTTTTGTTTCCTTCTAATGCAGGATTTACCACTGTAATGATTGACGAGGGCGAAGAATGGCTTTGGAAGAGAGACAGCTGTGTGAACCATAGAGGAATGCTGAATGCCTCACAGGTTAAAGCAGTTTTTAAAAGGCTTGTGGATAAAGCCATCAGGGAAAAAAAGCATTTAAGGTAAAAAAGGGTTAATGAGTATATTATCTGGACAAGCAAGCATGTTCCCTATAAAGGAAAAACATAATAAGAGTAACCTAGTGCAAGGGCCATATGCAATAGTGTGAGTGGGACTGGAAACAGCAAGACAGTCTTAAGTAAGGCCCTGGGAGTGGCAAAATGCAAGAAGAAAGGAAAAGAGCAGGCATATGATTAAAATCTCAAAGAACTATTCAGCAATTGTAAGTGCTGGATAGAAAAATAATGTTGTACAAGGCTTTTTTAATAAGGATGGGCTGACACAGTTTTTACCACGTGGTATGACTGTCATACCATGAGGTTTTGGTATGGAAATAAAATTCACTTACTCACTCCATTCTCATCAATTCATGTATTAAATGTGAATTTAACTCATTTTCCCCTGGCTCCCTTACTAGGTTTGGTTCTGTGCGCAAAGTCTTGTGATTGTGTTCTGTTCATGTATCTGGGGAGGAGGGGAAAGGGGGGAACATAGGTGTAAATTTCTCCCTAAGTGCATGGAGTGATCAACTTATTCCAAAATGGCATCCATACCCTAAAATCATTAAGGTGGTTTTTCTTTCCTTTGGCTCCATCCTTGATCAAAACACTGATGTAGCCCTCTAAAATGAGAGGAAATGTGTCAAAGAGTACTCAGCTGGAAAGAAAAGGACTTAGAAACATAAAAGCAACAATGACAACAGTCCCATGAATTTTTGGATAGAGAATTATTACTGGGTTAGGGATTTAGGTTAATCAGAACAAGGGTTTGTCTTTATCTTGCCTACTTTGTGCAGAGGCAGCCACCTTGTTATACAATCTATCATAACAAAATGTTTTAAAGGATCATAGTGGGAAATAATGCCTAGCCGAAAAAGTAACCTGATACTCTAATAATTCTGAAATTTAGGAATGTTGCTGTTAAGTCTGAAGGCCCAGCAGTGACCTTGAAAATAACTAGCACAAATAGAATAGAATATTCTATTGATTTGACACTTGCCATCAAGGAGAAAACCTGGCCAGAAGAAGCTGAAGAATGGAAAACAAGGCCCAGAACTGGTAATATCACTATTGACACCTTAACTTACCTAATGGCCATAAAGTTCAGGAATCAGCAAACTTTTCTATACCAATTATTTGTCAACTACTTGCACTTATTGCTGTCTAACATTCAAAATGGTTGAAAAAAAATTATTTCTATCATAGAAATAAACTAACAAAATATAATCTGAAAAGTTTTGTTGAAGCACTTAATGAATTTTCATTGGCATGGAAAGACAGTTATTTAAACATGCACTGAAATCACTTAAATGTGAAAGAAACACTAACATCTACAGAGATTATTTTATTAAAATATACAGGGCAGTGCTTCTTAGTTATTGGTTCACAATATTTAACACAAAATATTTTGTGAAAGATTGTATTATTCTAGCTGTATGTTATTTTTCAGTAAAGTTTTTAACATTGGCTTTTTTTTTACTTATGAAAAGGTTGGCCCAATAACAATCTTGTGAGAGAAATTTGCAGAGAGGGATGTCATCTGGTAGGTAAGCAACCAAAGGGTCACAACATTGCTTACAAAGAGAAAGGATTCCTGTGGCGTTATTCCTTCTCAGCGGCTGAAAAGAGGCTATTCCTTCAAGGAGGGCAACATGAAGCCAACTCTTGCCGAAAGAAAGTTCTCCGAATAGTGAAGGCTCTTCGAGAAGAACTTAACCTGAAGCCATTGAAGTCATATCATCTAAAAACACTCTTACTCTATGAGTGCGAGTCCCACCCTAATGCCTCAGAGTGGAGAGATACCTTGGATGTTCGATTCATGGGCCTCCTTAAGAGGTTGGAAAAGTGTCTACGCTCAAAGAGTTGTGCCCATTATTTTATTGAAGGTTTAAATTTGTTTGAATCATTCAACCACCAAGAATGCCAGGAATTGGCTAATAGAGTGAGGGAAATTATAAGCAAACCAGTGCAAGTGCTAACCAAACTCCTTGGGAAATACCAAATGGCATGAAATGAAACTAAACAAGCTACACTCATTGACTGCTTGTCTAAAACATTTTCATAATGGGTCAATTTAGAATCATTATGTGCGATCACCTTATGTACAACTGCACCACTGATTATTGTTGGTTCAAAACAAAAAAACAATGATAACTTCTTTAAGGATAGATAGTCCTAGACACATCTTGCAGCAAGTTTTTTAACACTGCTACATATTCTATCAACAAAGATTTGAATTAATTAAAGTTGCATAATATTTAATATATTCAACAAGTATTGAAAACAAATGATGCTGCTTGCACTAATCACAGGCAAGAGCTAGTATTTCTTAATTGATCTTGGTACCACAGGTCAGGATAAGGTCTAGGAAAAAATTTCTTAATAGACTCTGGGATTGGAACATTAGATTTGCCAAGGGAACATGAATAGGAAAACATATCTATCTCCTCGAATCCCTGAAGAACATTAAAATTAACCCCATTCCAAATGAAATTTAAAAGCAGTAGGAAATGGCAAACTCCATTGAACTTTTAAGACTGTTATGGAACTGTTTGTAACACCTCAAATTTTCACCATTTAACGTATAAAACTTCATAAACCAGATTTCTTCAAAGTTGGAATGTCATGTTTACTGTAATTACTGATCAGATCTCTTTCCTCACACTTTTGTGTGATTTCTGCCCCATCATAAGAAACATTCAGTAGCATTTATGAGAGTTTCCAGGTGTCAAAATGCACCCAACACTGTAACAAGAGGTAATCAGGCATCAATACATGAAATGTGCTGCGGGTTAGTCCAACAACTTGTTAAGTAACTTAACACCTGATTCACTTTGTTACTAGACCCATGAAGGAAAGGAGGTACCTTTTCAGGTTCAGTCTTCTACTCTCTAAATCCATTCCAAGTTTAAAACAACCACCAATATTTTACATACTTAGATTCGGTACATATACTTTCCCTGACAAAACACCATCTGTTTGCAAGGTCCTTTCCAATCAAAGTAAAATCTGTTGGTATATTCTTTTGGAATGTGAACATGACGATTTCACACACTTAGGGTCAATACACATACTTTCCCTAACAAAACACCATCTGTTTGCGAGGTCCTTTCCAATCAAAGTAAAATCTGTTGGTATATTCTTTTGGAATGTGAACATGACGACTTATTCTTGGTTTGGGAAAAACCTCACTCCTGATCTGCTCCATTTCCACACCTTCTTCTTTACATTTGACAACCCACACCATAAGTTTCTTGAGATCAATAGCTAATTTAGAATGCAGAGTTCTTTCAGGTGTGTTAATGATGTAATTGTCAAGTCCACCAGCTTTGTCAATACATCTCAGAGCAGGCACACTGACCTTCAGTGACAAGTCTTGTTCTAACACTTGACTGTAGAATGTCTTTTCAAAGACATTTGGCTTCCACACTCGTGGAGTTCTTGGTAAAGTGATAATAGGTAAAACATATTTTAGTAAAAAGTTTTACAAATTATACAAATGTTCTCACAAGCCACCACTTCACTTGATATTTATCTACAATTCTAACACATCAAGTACATAAAATAAATTACATTGTTAAATAAATAGGTCAACTGGAACAATATTCAATTATTTTTATTCTATAGTATGCTAAATTTTTCTTGAGGTGAGTAACTAAGTTTAACATTCATATTTTATTCAAGGTTACTGTTTTTAGAACCGTTGCTTGACTCATTCTCATAAAAGTACTCAATCATACCAGGATTATGCCTTGAATTTAAGTTTTGAGTTATTGAGCTTACTTTTTGCCAGACCATGTTGTTCTGTAGCCAAACACATAAGTTTCTCCGTGGTAAAGACCTTTATGTGGTGCTTCGCGAGACTCTTTCAATAGAGCGCGTCCTTTTGCTTTCTGTGCGACCGTCCTACCAAAGAGCAAGAAGCGAAGACCAAGGCGTACCATGATGAAGAAGAATTTGCCAATTTCGGACGAGTGATCAGCCAAACTTTAAGGGGTTTACTGCGCAGGTGTGAAGGCGTTTGACTACTATACATGACTGGTACACAACATATCGTCAGCTCATACATAAGTCCGCTGAGATTGTATGCCGTAGTAAGCTCGTCGATGGTGTTTTGGCGCCAACCTCCATCAGCACGACTGACAAATCAATTAAAAATAAAGAGAATTTGGGAATTAACAATAAGTCTACATTATTTTACTCATTTTGAAGTGTGTACAAGTACTGGTATGTCACTGGGGAGGCGATCTGACAGGTAACAACCGAATTCCACACACTTTCAAGGGAAAGGAAACTGTGGTATCCACATGCGAAAACAGAATGCCCTTTGTTGTTTTCATTTTGGTTGAATATTTCCATTAGTGAAACGAAAACAAAGTCGCCAACATTCAATCAGTGTACAATTATAGTGTGGGTGTGACATATCGCTAGTTCATGAAAAAACGTTGAATATATTAGTACCTGACAATGTTTTACTTTAAGTGAAAGCGTAGCTTTAATTTGCATTTCCAACAACAGACATCTGTCAGCTATCGCTCATACGTGCTTCAACGTCTAATCTAAGTCCAGTTACCGATAGTCTTTCGCGGTGTACATCTTATTTTGTTCTTCTTCCTCGAATGTCTCTCCGTAGAGTGCGTAAAAAAGTAGATTATGCAAAGTTTTGTCAAGAAGAAGACAACAGCAGCAACAATAGTGATGGTAAACACATTTTGGATACATTACTTTGACTAATTGTTTTGGCTCTCGTATCCCTAATGATTCGTTAACTATTTCCCGCGACCGTGATTATCTTTGACTTGAACTCGTACCTCAGACCACAGCTTGGAGTCGCTTTTATGATAGATGACAGTCAGTTTTATTTGCATTACATGTGATCAAAAGATTTGTGATGTCTGGTTCCTCATGGCAGTTCAACATTTCTAGTCTCGACATTTTAAACGTCATTAGAAGGAAGCTTTGTTATGTGCATTTCTAATTAGAAGGATTTCCAGAAATAAATTTTTATCCATGCTGGGTCAAGCAATTTAATCTAAGTGATTTTACTTTCAACTTTTTTATATAATGCCACAACAAACATGAGCCCATTTTACATAAAATAGACCACTACATTAATTTGACAAGGAATTGTTGGGATTTGGGGTGACAAAAAATAGCTTTTCATGTTTTGTTTTCTGGTTTTCAAAGATGATTTCCAAGATGAAGCAGGGCCGCCACCACCACCAAAGAAAACGAAATCAAAAGCCAAGTCAAATATTAAATCAAAACAAGAAGAGACAAAGAGTAAAGAATCAGGAAGTTTAAAAAGGAAAGAAAGGTTTGTGCACATGTGATTGGAAAGCACATTGAAAGTAAGGGGGTTTTGAGGAAGCAATTACAACTTTGATTACCAGTATTGTTTACTAGGATCATATATGTACTTACTGGGGAATCTTCATTGATAAATTGGCTTCCATGATTCTTGTATTTTAGGTAGGAACATGGCCTTTCAATAGCAAAGTGTGTTGTGTTTTGTTTTTTGTTTTTGACATGGTTGTTGTTAATTTTTAAGGGATAATTATAAGGGAAAGTAATATTTGACACAAGATGTTTTTTCCTTTTGTGTATCTCTCTCCTTCTGAGTCAAGGTAGATTCACATGTGACAAACCTGAATCAAAGCAGACTTCATGGTTAACATGAGTTTCTCAACTGTAACTTGCTTACTGATGACTGGCTCATTTTAAGGGATGTCTGATTGGCCTTTTGATTGAGTTTCAAAATAATAACTGTTTAGCAGGGTTATCAATTGTAACTTGATACAGAATCAAGATCATAGATTTCAAAGGGACTCATGGCTAACTTGCTTCATTGTCTGTTGACCTTAGTTGGTGTTTTACCTCTATGTGTGGGTTTACAATTCATAAGTCATTACACTCTGATCAATTTGAAGCTTCTGCATCCCTCCCTGAGGGGATGCTGTTGTCTGTGTCCTCATGGGTGGAGAATTTGAACCTGTGTGTGAGGTGGACCTGGGGGTTATTGTGGGGTTGTTGAAGCTTTTAATTGATTTAAACTTGTTTCTGGTTACAAGCATTCTGCTATTTAAGAGCAATAAATTATTGTCATTGGGAGTTTTTTTTGTCTGCATTTTACTCAGATTGTCAAGAGATGAAAAGCTGTACCAGAAAGAATTAGAGGCTGCACTGAAAGCTTCCATAGAAGACTCTCAGCTATCATCTGGTAGTAGTACTACACATGATAACCAGGAAGAATTTTCAGATGATGAAGTAGAAGTTGCATCATCCAAATCGAAAAAGCCCAGGTTACTTCCTCCTTTGGAGATAGAAGACAACAACAAAGAGAACAATGTGTAAGATAATTTATATTTTATTTGCTGATATATCATTAGAAGCTCCATATAAAATAATAGTTCAAGTGCATGAACAACCAAAATAGAACTCTATTGTTTGGGTTCAGCCATTATTATATACTCAGTGGCTGTTGCATTTTTCCCTTCTTTGCAGTCATAGTTTGATTGACTCTGATGTCATTACTTTCAGTGTTGTTGATCTTGAAAATTTTCATTGCTGTCATAATGGCTTGGTGTTCATATTACATTTTAAAGTGAATTTTATGTTAGCAGACATTTAAATGTAATAAATATGTGGATTGCAGCAGTGGCTCGCACACTAATACAGACAAAAAAGTTCCAAACATCGAAGTGGAGGAAAGAAGAAATGATGACATAAAAAAGAAACAAAGCAGAACAACATCAGATGTCAAGAAAGAGGTTTTACAACAAGAACAAGAGGAAGATGATGGTCTTGGTAAGATTCTTGAAGTTGATATGTTCCCCAACAGATACTCAATGAATTTTGTGTACTCTTTTGTTTTAAGATAGTGATTTTGAACTTAGTGAAGAGTTGAGCAATGAGGAAAGCGTAAGTGAGGGAGATGACAGTGATTTTGATGAGGAAACAGAACTAAAGAAAACAAATAAGGGCAAAGGGCGAGGAAAGTCAGCTGTGAGTTCACCAGCCAAACCAAGTATTAAACCAAGAACAAGTGTGACAGGTTGGTGAAATGATAACAACTTTAATTTAACCATTTGGGTCTTTATTGTCAGTACTGGATACTTGGAGTGTGTAAACCCCCAGATATCAACTGTATTGCAGGGTAAAGTCTGTTGTTTTGGGTGACTGGTGCTTCATGTTGTAACTGGTAGTATGGCCACCAGGATGTTAGTTTGAGGTAACTTAACAGAGGATTGTTAGACATGGTTTGATGCTACTCTGGTTTACAGATTTAATGAATGTAACTGATGAAGTTACAATTCATAGACCCAACATTTCGACACTCCTGTTAAGTGCCTTCATCAGGGGTGATCTAAACACTGCAACAAGAGGTCCTTTTATATGATCACCAATTAGCGGCCTTTTTTTCTGAGGAGGTGTAAATAGGCATCAGGAAGCAAACCACCATTGTCACGATTTAAAGGAGCGTCAAGAGGTCATTGAAAGGCTGCTAATTAGTGATCATATAAAAGGACCTATTGTTGCAGCATTTAGATCACCCCTGATGAAGGCACTAGACAGGAGTGTCAAAATGTTGTGTCCATGAGTTGTAACTTCTTCAGTTACATTCATTAAGTCTGTAAACCAGAGTAGCATCAAACCATGTCGGATTGTCCACCTGGTTGCTGTGTGAACTTTAATATATTTTAGAGGATTGTTAATTGGTAGTTCACTTCCATATATATATATATATATATATATATATATATATATATATATATACACTTGTAGCTGGAGAGTGGCATTTTAACATTTATGGTGGCTAAGTGTCTTTTATTTTAACATTATAATTCTTCAATGGTGCAATGATTCTACACTTTTCAATTTCCCTCTTCGAAGGTGGTTTTAGTATCATAGAAATATGTAATCAAAGCCCAACAGGTAGTGGTAATTTCTTTTAAATGAAAAGTTACCATGGCTACAGCATCTTCACAGGCTCACTTTATGGAATTGTTGATTGAAGTTTGGGGTTACAGAACTCATTTTGTATCTTTTTTACTGCAAAACAATCATGTTCTTTAACCACATTTTTGATCCAAATTTGTGTTCACACATCTCAGTTACACCAATCAAGATGTTAAAGGGGAAAGGCAGTGGTAAAGGAAAGGTTTCATCTGCAAACAGCAGCCACTCAGTGTCAAGTTCTGCATCAAACTCACCATCAAGTATGTCAAGCTGTTACTATTGTCTTAGTCTACCTTTTTGAGAGCCAGCCTCACATGGTACTTTGGGGCTTGTACCTAACAGAAAATAGTTATTAAATTATGCTTAAATAATTTTTGATCAAGAAAAGTTGGAGAAAGATAAAAATGCCCAAGTGCCCAAGTAAATGAGTGGGGGTGAGGAGGGAGGAGATCCTGGGATTAAAATTGTTGAGAATTGTTAAAGAATTAATAATCAAACTAATACTTATATACATACCCTGAATGCTGTTTGAGATATAAGTCTCATGTTTCACTTAAATAACTTTACTTTTTGATAGAGGCCTGGGACAAACCACAGGAAACCTGGTGCTACTCAAGTCATTGTAAAAAGACTTAAGGGAGATGTTATATTGTGTGCATTTTAGGGTCAGGGTTTAACCATGAAATTAACAATACAAGTACTCTCGGTAGTAAATCACACTGAAGGTTTCTGTTAATGATCCTTTGCTTTTTCCCAGGCTAAGTAATATGATGGCTGATGGCATCAAACACAAATGTTAAACCTGAATAAACTCTAAAACTGAATAAGCTGTGCAAAAATTGTTAAAAGGCTGGCTGGCCACTTAGTTCTTAAAAATAAAGCCAAATGAACAATAAAGCCACTTTCTCTCTCTTTTTGTCTCCTGTGTTTTCACAGGTTTCTTCTGAAGATAAAAGGATTTTTTCATTATTCCTTGAAAAGGTAATACAAATTGCCTATAATTGCAATCATGTTATTTTAAAGAGATATATATATATATATATATATATATATATATATATATATATGTATATATATAAATATATGTATGTATACAAAGTGATATTAGCCTAAACATGATCATCCTTGGGTATAACTAAAGTTAATTATAAACTTTAAATGATAATAAAGCAGTGTAGAAATGAAGGAAAGAAGTTGCCTATAATACTAAGAGAAGTCAAAATAACATGAAGGCTTTGTTGTATTTTGTCATAGTTGTGTCCATCACAAGACATCAACCTTTACAGCAAGTGAAGGTGCACTCCACCTCACTCAACAAAAACAATCCAGGAATGCAAACTGTAAATCTTGGTGGAGTTAAAATCAACAACACTGGCCCTCCAATACGTCTTGGACTTTCAAGAAATGTGCGAGTTAAACCACTTCATTCAAATGTGTCTGTTCAACAGTGAGCCTAACATGGCCTATGTGCTATGTGCACTTGTCACTTCAGAAGAATGCTAACACCTTGAAGCAAAAGGGAACAATGATTGCCAAACTGCAAATTGACCCTCCTGGAATTTTCCACAACATTATGTTGGCAGGTTCCTTATGTATCTCAAGAGGATTTGGAATACCAATGTAAAGAGGATGTAGATGTAAAATGCAAGGTACTTTGAGTAGCTCTAGGCAAATTGATACAGAGAAAGTTAAATTGCAAGGAATAACCCTTTTAACTACAAGGTTTATTTTAATAAAACTTTTTGACAAGATGAAAGGCCTTTAATGTCAAATTTTAGTTCTAAAAAGGAGTTGTAGCATTTCAGCAGAGTCACATATATATGCTAGTTTTCAAGAAAGTTATAATGTGTTTGTAACTCATAAATTGAATTTATTATTAGTACAGCAGTGTTTAATACCTGTGCAGTTCTTAGCTTTGAGAAAGTTCTCCAGAGATCAGTTTAATGTCACTAACTCTTAGGTAACATTAAAAATATTAACATGTATGATAAGTGAAAACTGTGATAACTTTTTGACTTGTTAAAAAAAGCTAGACGTTGGAATATCCAACAGCCTATCTTTTTACACCTGAAGTATTCACTTCTCAGTCATATTACTAATTAATTTTTGTCAGTAACAAAATGCAAGAAACTCAGGCATGAAGTGTCAAATGACAAGACAGGCATCTCATTTCATGCATTAGCAAAAAGCTCAACCAATCATTCTCATCAATTTCATGTTTCCAGGCTGAAATTAACAACGTTACTTACTTATAAGTCTCCTTGCTTTTGATTGGTTAGTATCAGTGGAGTGGTTGAATGACATTGGCTGGTGCCTTTTAGTACTGTATTTTCAATACCTCTTTAAAATAACTGATTTGATCTTACCAAATACAAGGTGGTTGAAATAAGGTAGATCAAACTGGACTGTTTGGTGCTGCGCAAACATTGCAAATTAAGGAACATGTGAAGGCAGTTAAGAACCAATTAGATTCCAGCATTTTGTTTATTGACAAAAGTAAATACCTATTTCAATCAGTCCTAGGATGAAGTGCAGTAAAAAGCCCGATGTCCAACTTTGCGAACAAGTCGCTCTGACAAATCATCAGTGATTTCCTGATCTTTTGATATTGTAATTCTCGCCAGGTCACTAGTCACCTTCTCCATGTCCACATCTTGTGGTAATCCATTTGTAGGCATTTCTGCTTGCTGCAATCTTTTAACACCTTCTCTAAAAGTGCAACAAGCACTCTCCAAGTCCTCATCATAAGACAACTTCTGCGCTAACTCAGATTCACGCAGAACACTCACACCGTTTTGCAGTACAATGCTTTTTGCGAGGCAGGATCTTCGATTAAGTTCTTCTCTAAGCATCTTGGTAAGCTCTTCTACATTAACATCTCCATATTTCTCAATCACATGTGGTAGGACTATATCATGTGCAGTGCCAATGAGACGCTCCAAGGATAGATCTTCTTTAATGGCACACATTATAATCTGTGAGTGGAGAAATATTGTAGATTCTTAACAACAAGGATGACAGAATTAGGATTTAGGATATAACTCTTAATCAGCACCAATGCCATAAATGTCTTTCCAGAAAAATAAATCTCTAAATAGTTTGAAAAAAATTAGGTGGCTCCAAACATGGAATAGATTTTAAAAGAAACTTGCAAAATAAGAATTTGTTTTTACACAAATTCCCAAATGATATCACACAGCAGTCACCAAACCCAGTTTTCACCTACACTCTTTGTGAGGCTATGTGACGCCTTTCTATCTGAAAGACATTTCAGGATTGGTATGGTAGGCAATTGACTGACTACAAAAAATCAGGACTGTGAGTTTGATTTATTCTCTCATGCAAGCATAAAATTGAAAATTTAGGTCACACTCCATCATCAAGTTATAAAAGTAGGTCCCAAAGATGGCAAATTTTGAGTCAATAGAGACCAATGTTGCATGTAATTTGTCTAAGTAAAATTCAGAAGAGCTGGTATGTGGAAAGAGGGACTAATGAATTGGATGCAGAACGTGCACAATAAAATTACTAAAAAAAGTTTTCTTATCAAATGTTGAAAATTACCACTGGTAGCTGCTTGATGTTTTGTGTTTGGATGTAACGACCTCCAGTTTTGAGTGATATTCCTGAAAAAAATTCTGGCAATGGGTTTCTTCCAAAAGGGGATGCAGTTGTGGGTTGCATGATTCCAACTGTGTAAAGGGTGACGGAATTTTCTGCCAACTGTCTGCAAATTTTCATCACATCGTGGCCATGTGAACACTTGTATGTTTCTAGGGAGGTTCTCTCGTTCACTGAAGCTAAAAAAACCAATAGATTGGTTAATTCATAAGCATTAAACCCTTACAAATAATATAAACTCTACTAAAAGTAGGAGCCAGTCATAATCTCTGTTTCCTAAGGCATGACATGTTTAAGAATATTGCTACACCCTCCCTTTGAAGACAGGGTGTTAAGCCACCTTAGGATCCACACCCAGCAATCACTTGGGAATGGTTCACTGATATTCACCTATAGTGTATACTCTTGGGTGGAAAGAATAACTGTGATAGTAAAGTTTGGGAAAACTCATATCAGGTTCCATCATGTAAATTCCATTATAGTCAGCACTCAAACCAAGTGGCCCTAGCTGGTGGTTTTGTCAGCTTTTTCATTATGTTTTACTCAAGTTGGATAGGATGCTAGTCTACCACAGGTTATCCAGCTTTTCATTGGATTTCCCTGACAATTCACAGGTACAGTACCTATTTATACTCTTGGGTGGAGAGAGGGACTGGGAGAGTAAAGTGTCTTGCACAAGAACACGACACAATGACTCAAAGCCAGGTCTCCAAACTCTACTTCTCAACTTAGAGTCCAGCATATTAACTGTTCAGTTCACTACATCTAACCATCATACAGTACTTACGCAGTAGTATGCAAACTCTATTGGCATCTTTCCGGCATGATTTTGAATCTTCTTTAGTTGCTAAATCTTGTACCAGTGCAAGACCATCAGCCAACCCATTTTCTGAACATGGTATTCTAGATTCATTAAGGTAATGTATGTGGGACTTCATGACATCTTTTTCTTTAGTAAACCACCAAGTGATAGCATTGGAAACAGGAAAAGTGTGATCCTGATAACAAACTAGGGCAAGTCGGAAGTTGTAATCTCTTACACAAATCATTTCAACCAAGTGAGCCAGTTGAGTTTTAAGTCTTGTATGAAACTTACGATTCTTAGTACGCTCAACAACAACAATCAAATCCAGGTTGTCTTTGTTAACAAAGTCTTTCCACTTCAAATCTAGTATAGGGAAAAATAAGTTTAAAAATCAAATTCAAGTATCAAGGGGTTCCAAATACTCCACCCCCTCCCCCCTCTGCATTTATACCCCCTTAGGTAAAGGCTTTTTCATAATACCATTCAGTTATCACTTTGTATCCATCTCTGTTCAGATACTCCTGCCCCAGGTTTTGATCTCTTTCTTTGGTAAATTCTATTTCAAAGAAGGGCCATAGGCAGCAGGGAACAGGTAATTGACTCCTGTTACATCACATATACATAAAATAGAAGCCTCAATCAGCCTTTTCAGTTGCAGTTGAGATCAAAGCTAGATATTTGTTGCTGATCAGTTCCTGTTATTCACAGGCTAGGTATTCTTTTTTCTTTTTGGCCTATTTAAGGTCACAGTTCTGAGCCATGGGTGGCACCCCTATACCAACAGGAAGATCAGTCAGGTCAATTCATAACCTCACCAAGAAAAATATTTCTTAGAGGGGTCAGATAACTCCACAGTGATAGCTTACAAGATGTCATACTACACATGTAAATACCTGCACCACTTTCTGCCTGAAGTAGTTGTGAAAGTCTGGCTTGGGTATCCTTAGGTGGATGGGTGAGTGGCTGAACAAGACAAATGTAACTTGCATCTCCACCAACCCTCACTGCCTGGATTCCACATTGACAAAGCCAGTCCTCTTTTTGAAGGGCATCATTACGGAGTGAATTTAACAGCCCATCATTCTTTGGGATTTGAAAGGTGAAGCAGGCTGAGTTATTAGCTTCCTCCTCTGTTTTAACAAAGTTGATATCAGAATTTTTTATTCGAAGAGCTGCACAAATTCCAATTTTCAATTGTTGGAGGGTGGCTCTTTGGTCAATATTATTACCAGATAACATGAAGCGAACCATAGCCTTTCCCATGGCTGAAAAGAAAGAAAAGAAAATGTTACTATGTCCTAATCATACACATGGTGTTCCCCTTTATTGTAGATATGTCTATTTTTTTGGGCTGATAAACAGTTTTGGGTACCATTCGATCAACTGTATTGATTGTATATAAAACACATAAATCAATCACAAAAAAAAAAACCAAGACTTAGAAATCAGGCCAGCCTGGCCTATCTATATCAACTTGTCACAATCTTTCCAAAGAAAAAACAGTGTTGAAAAAGGATCTAAGAATCCAGGTCAGGTGTTCTTAACAGAGCTCAAATAAAGAGGCCTTGAAATTAAGCTGCTCACACATCACAGAGTGAGTCCATGAGTTTTTTTTTCAACAGACCGAAAGTCACGGTTTTTGTAAATTTATCCATTCACCACAATCTGCACTAGATGGAGAAACTTTCTGACAGATACATGAGCAAATTTTTTTAAGGTTTCTGGTTGAGTCAGGTTTCCCTTCACTGGCACGGCACAATCCCTCACTGACAATAATCCTTATACTAGCATCTGCATTCACCCCATCGACCCTCCCGACTTCGAATTCGCTCACTACGACAACTTGTTGCTCTTTGTTTGCTGTCATTCCTTACGACTGATTACTTCAATTTTAATTTAAATAGCTGGTCACACAATGAAAATTAATAATTAAGATTGATAGTTTAGGGTTGGAGGTAGGAATATGAAATTTACCTGGCAATTCACGAGTCACCTGTGCTATGGGTGCGCTGCCCATTCCTAGTGATGAGGGAGACTTACTTATAAAAACTTTAACACGCTCTGCAAGATCAGATCGGTTAATGCAATGGAAAAGTTCTGCAAGGAAATCCAGATCGTTCTCTCCTATAAGACACTTCTTTATCATGTAGGAAAACAAATCCGTAGACTTCTGACAATTTTCCAAAATTCCCTCAGGAATTTCATCTGCCAAAATAAATTTCAAAGACTTCAAGTCTTCTTCTAAGATTTCAGAGGATACACGATGTAGAAAAGTACGGAAAGGGTTCAAAAGACGCTTTCCCGAGACAACTACTCTTGACGCAGTTCCATGGGTAGCCATGGATCGAGCAACGATTACGAGAGACGGAAGTGATGCTCTAGTTTCCAACCTCCATCCTCAATCTTCTCCCAGTGTTCGAGAGTTGAAGTGTGCTTTCCAATGTAAGATTATTTCAACTCAAGAGAAACTATTCCCAAGTGTTACCAATTTTGCATTCTTTAAAGAAGAAACTTTAGTGCCATTAGTATCATAAAAGATTTTCAACACAATAGCACAACCTCGCGACATTTGGGAAACCGCACAGAGCCTCACGAGGACTGCAAATGGAAGAGGTGAACTGAGATCTAGTTTCTCCCGAGATAGGGGAGAAGGGCTGGAACGAAAAGGTAAATGTACTTCAACGCAGAGTAACATCCTACTCGATAGATGCAAAAAAATAATGATATTCAGTTCGAAATGATAATCAAAGTTAATTGAGGACTGAATGGAGGTACAGTTTTTCTACAGGATCATAATTTAAGTATAAGTTCAGTTAAAAATAGCATTAACATTATTCAGTTCATAAATGTCATGTTTACAGGAGTATTTACTTTGTAACAATAATCAAAGAGAAAAGAAAATTAAATGGATTTTTAAAAAGGAGATCATTAAATGTGGTGAGACAAAAAAGACCTAGGTTAACAGTTGTTCTTCCGAAGAAGGTAATCATAACATTTATGTTTGTAACCTCTTAAATGAACTGCTGAATACATAATGTAACTGCATCACTTGTGTCAACTTTGTTATTGAACTGCAGAGAAAAGCTGCTAATCTTCCCATTCATAAAAAAAACTTGATGGTAAAATAATTGAACTTAAAGAATTTGAGGCCTTTTAAACCTCATAACAAGCAAAATAAAGTTGTCTCATTGGAGACTAACAACACTCTACCACTATTAATATAATTCATTGTCAAGTTTCTTTACTCCTTACTCAAGGATATTTCCTATGTTACAATTCACAACAAAATAGTAACCATACATGGGTTCCCTCATGGTTCCCATAAATTGATATTTGGCGATACTTGAAGTTATGTGCTGGATAAGGGGCTAACCTACTGCTGTTCAGGAAAAGGAAAAAGCTTTTGAGAAAGTTGGTTCTTGGCTAAAATAAACTGTGTTGTAGGAGTCCACTTGAATACTTCCGCACATGTCATGAATCTGTGTCAAAAATTCTTGAAACCCTTTTCATAAAAATGTCATTCAGTTACACTGCAGGACTTGCTCCAGACATAAATGGCTCAATGGTTATCTCACCAGTTTCTTCATCATGTTCCACAGGTATTTTCTGCCTGCCAAGTGCCTTCGTAAGTAACCTTTCAGACAAGAGTTTAGTAACTTCTGCTGGCTCAGTTATGGTGACCTCCACTGTGACATTGTTCATGTAAAATAATCTGTAGTCCATTGGAGTGTCTTTCTCCAGGAACTGCTGAACTTGTGACAATTTTTTTAACCCAGAAATTCTCTTTGCTGTTGGTGTGGGGGGCTGGAGTTCTGCAGAGTTGCACTGAAGTTGGCGGGATTTGACATTTCTCAGGTTCAAATGCTCTTGAAGTTTTTCAGCCAAGTCATCTACTGTTACCTTCTGTTTCTTTCCTTTCATTTCTTCAAGGGCCATGTTTAAGAAGTCTTCAACATATCCCATAATGTTCTCATGGGCAACCTCCTCAAGTGAGGCATTTATTATTACCTACAAAACAGGAAGTTAATGATAAAATAAGACAGATGATTATAGCTTTTTAGTTGGAGCATCAATTAAAGAAAGATGTTACTCCTGTTGTCAAGAACATGACACAAAGAAAACATTTAAGTACCCCACAAACAATCCAACCCTAAACCTTTACATTCCATATTCTGATACTCTGACTCTCTACTGTGAAGAACTCTGTGGTGAGCTATGCCAAGTCTACTCTCCAGCACACTGCAGTCACATTAGTAAGACTTGCTTTGTTTGTTTAAAAAATGCCTTTTTTAAAAAAAATTGTATGTACTAGTGAGTTCAATACGGTGTGTCACCTACTTTTGTCATGAATTTTAAGCAGTAATATATTTAATAGATGTAATGAGATGGCTAACAAAAAACAACATGTCTTAAAAATGGTGGATGTGAAAATTTTATCAGGTAAATTTCAGCATAAATTTGGCACAAATTTTCTTAAATAGCAATCTACCTTTAACGACATGAATTAAACACACTGTGGCTCCTTTAACTTAAATTCCAACCTTTGATAATCCCTGAGCTTTGGAGAGAGGAACATACTGGCCACCAGTTATGTATGCCAAACCCATAAAGAAATCTTTGTAGCGTAGGATGTTTGGTTCACATCCAACACAGTACAGTACAATTCCCTTCTCCACCATAGCTCTACAAGCCTGTAGAGGGTCATTGCCTGTTGGACAGCCATCAGGGAAACCATCATGCTCTAGTCCAAGTCCATGAGGAGGGGCATCAGCTGAAAGAATAAAGAAGACTCCAGTAAATTTACCATTCATCACCTCAATTATGACATTATTATCAGATAATAACCTACAGTGCCCTATCTTGTGGAATTGCTCTCATCAAGTACTTCCCAGTCAGAGTTGTAGTTTTTATTATCAAAATGGTAAATTTTAAATGTAAGCATCAGTAAATGTAAATCTGAAGATACATGTCTGTCACATTAAAACGATATTATAATCACCAAAACAATAAGGTACTGCTGGGAAGCTTAAAATGGAGACTGGGAATTACTCTGAGAATCAGAGCTTAATACAGCAGTGTTATAATTTCAAATGAAGTGGTTTTAGGATGTATATGTACATAGTATGTTGATAGGATCAAATAATTCCATAACGAAGTACATCACTGCTCAAAATTGGTGTTAAAAATAAGTATAATCCTGTAAACTAATTAATAAAGAAAGTGAACAAACGACTGTGTCTACAATAATATGTGAGTAATGATCTGAATTTTATTTACAAGAATACAAATATCCAGGGTGATGTTTACCATTCAAACTATTTTCCTTCGTAAAACTATGACCTCTCCACGAGGATCCAGATAAATACGGCTTTCACAACAGATTTTGAAGAGAAATACGACAAAATTAAAAATGCCACGTGAAAAAGTGAACACCAGTAATTAAAGTTCTCCAACACCAGTGATATCTATTCGGATTTTTTCCCATCGAGCTCGTTCCTACACAATCGTTTGTAACATTTTTATCAAAACTGTTCCAAGGTGCAGAGATCATCTGAAAAATTTCACATAATATTTAATGTACCTGTTCTTACCTGTCCACACTATTCGTAAAGCTTCAACTTACCAATGAGAACACAAATCTTGGTAGCATCTTTTCTGTAGTTGAGTTTGGAAGCTGCGTCCAAAGCACAAGCCACTGACTCAGGACCATCTCCACCGCCTCTTGCGCTCATACCATCCACCCATTTTTTCATTTCCTCTACGGAATGTGTAAAATCGTGAACTTTCGTTATAAATGAGTTATCCTGGGGAGGGTGATCTCTGTACTCTACCAGCCCAAGCTTCACGTTGAATGCAGTTCGCGAAACAGTTTCGGCGATACTTCGAACGTGTTTTTGCGCTTGCTTGATATGAAGACCCATGGAACCTGTACAGTCGACAATGAAGACGAGGTCAACTTTGTTTCTGTCATGACGAGCAGCCCAATGATCATCGACCATCTTCGTGAATAACCAGAGTCTAAATTTTTCCTGCGAGACCTTTCCAATGTCGTCAAACAAGGAAGCAAAAGCCAGCACAGCAAGAATTGAATATCCCACCATGCATTGCGAAACACGAGTTTACGTGACAAATTGCTCGCGTGAAGGCCCCATCACGTTATCTGTGAGTTTTCCGTTTCGTGCTTTTCCTTTAACGGTTTATCAGTCACATCTTTTCTTTTCTTTTTCATTGCTATAAGTCACTTAATGTCACTAAACTAGGACACTCTACGACAGGATGGAGCCTCTGGCTCATAAGCTGACTTAACCATTTTTATTCCTAGTCTTTGCGGTCTGTTCACGATTTTGCACTATGAAAATCCCATGCGACCATAGTTTAAATGATTTTAGTCGTTTGCACGTTCATCGGCTCATACGTTTATCAGTTTCAAAATTGGCTGGCCGTCACACCTACCTTTGATTTCAAATGTTTATTTAGATTTCTCTTTCCGTGAGAGAGAATGTCAATCACCACAGTGATAAACAGTTTCGACAAATTTTTTAATTTCACTCACCGTGACACCTCAATACAGACTTTTATCAACTAACTGACTTGAAAAGTTGCCACTCTAGGACAGATTTTTAAATATTAAAATTCATGTTTATTTTATTCATCTTTTTAGCTGTTTGACACGCTTTGCAATAATTCCCAGGAAGACACCAAGTTTTATCTAAGCAAGAAACCTTTTATTTAAACCAAAAATAACATAAGTCAAGAGACCTGGTTATAAAGACATGATTTCAAAAGGGTCTTTTATTTCTGAACTGCTGCTGCATATTAACACCGCAAACTAACTCTACAAGCATTCGTATTTCTGTTTAGTAACTGAACTACCTGCTGTGAATACATGAAAGGTGCTTGCGAGGCACAAATGAGAAGCATTGTTTAATTAATCCTTCACAATAGTTACTGCTTGACAATTTAAGATAAAGGCCCGTCTTAAAATAACGACCAATAGTATCGCTCATGATTAAAATAATACTTTAAACATCATAAATGAAGGGAATCTACCCATTGGACTGGAACCTTTAGAGGCGTCCTCGAGCCGACGGATAGTGCAACGATTTATTCGCAGTGTCGCATCAAAATGGCAGACCTAGATTCCAATTACATAGAAGGACTTTCGGATTACCGCTGGAAAGAAGCAGAGATACCAATTTATGTAGACCGTGATATAGACGTTAAGGTCTCTTAAAACCATTCTTTGACTTTGTTGCTTGTAATGCGCTGGTGAGAGTTTGAGATGAACTGTATATAATGAGTGCAATTGACCTCATCTAACGTCACTTTATAATTTACTGATTGAAGGATTGGATAGCAATTTCTGCTGAACCTGCGACTGACAAACCACGGGCCTGGAAAATCACCGACTCTAGTGTAAGTAGCTTGAAGGCTGTCAAAAAATATCGCAATCTAAAGTTTGTTTACTATTCAGTGGGTCACTTTGTCAAATTAATGCGCAGAGTCAGTATGTACAACAACGCAGACTCTACCCTCGAGAGCGGGATTTAACCACTTTTAAAGCTTTATATTTTTATCAACGACCGTGCAACACCTGCTTTCTTTCATTAGAAGTTTTTTCCTCTTGTCTTTCTCTCCAAATTCCTTTCAGCTTTTTCGTAAGACTGTATGGGCTGATTTGTTTCGTAAAAATTACTGTAAGATCTCGATTTTTGCCATATGGGGATCGACCGTTACGAAAAAAAACCTATTTAGAATATGTTGATTGTTGATATAGAGTTTTGTAGGATTTCGTGCACTGAAAATTTAACTTATTGTCTAATGATGTAGAAGTCATGCTAGAGAATATTTTTGTTTTAAAACAACTGATCTGAGTGCATTATGTAGATACTTGCGTTTTTCCAAATAAGGAAAAAATTTCAACGCTTGTTAAGTAATAATAATAAAAACAACTTTACAATCTGCAGGGGTGAATGCAGACCGTGTGAAATCCTATGCTTCACTTTTTACAGAATTCAGTTTCAACATTCAACATTCAACTTTTTAACTCACTGGCCAAAAGAACTACAGAACTTTTTCTTTGCTGAGATTCATATCACCCACATTCATTGCCAGCTAAAATTCGCTTAAGAAGCGAGGTTTTCTTGATTTGACATAGATTTTCTTATCTCGCCCAAGTGTAATTTAAGTGAAAACAAACTTTTTTCTGCGTCGTGAATCCCGCGGGATTCCCGTGTGTTCTGTTTTGCGTTCCAGTAGTGGGCGTAGTTGCTTATTGATTACAGTAATCTTTTTTCCTTGTCACAGATCGTAGAATGGAGTTTAGCCGCCAAAGGAAAATTCTTCAGCCAAGAAGTGTACATAGTGTTGAATCGTACATCTCTTAAAACATCAGTGAGTATAAAGAAAAGTATACTACACCAAAGCTATGAAGCAGTTTTGTCATCATCAGTGACCCGACAGTGAACTCACTGACTCAAGAGAGCAATATTCGATGATGAAGTAGAACAATTTAAAATGTTCATCTCGCTTTGTTCTTCTTACGTATTTTAACACAAGAAAGACCCTTTAAGAGTCCGAAACGGAAAAGTTTAACAGTGTTAAGACATAACTCCTTACCTAAATGGGAACATTAGTCGAAATGACTTGAAGAACCAAAGCCAAGTTCAAATTCTGGCTTCCTTTTTGAAAAGCTAATTCCTGGCAGATTTCAAAAATATCTGGCTCAAGTCTTTCTCCATCGCCCATCAAACCATTAATGTAACTAGAAAATATGGGCAGTCACGGCTGAAGGTTCACTGCTTTTAGTAAAGAGCAATTGACTTTTTCCCTCGCTTTTTTTTTTTTTTGTTTTTTTTTGTTTTGCAGACCAGTTGTGATATCCACTGCTGGATTGGTAAGCAAGCCTCGTCCGAGTTGTACAAAAAGGCTTTGTATAATGCTACTGCGTTTGGCGAGGCGGTGAGAACCCTTTAACTCAAAGTCTTTCTTTTTGATTTGCTCGCTATTGTTTGAATTCCAGAGAGTTTCCGCCTCATAACTGTTGGTTATCCTCGAGTAACTTTTCCCGGCACAAAAGAGACGTCTTTTGTATTTATGTTCATTTTTACAAGCACGAGAAAACTGCATTGTCATAAAAAAGACGTTCAGAAGTTTTATTATTTTTCGAAACTTCTTTCGCCGTAGGTTGTATTGAAAGTGAAATTGGAAATACCAGATCTGAAAACGTGGCTAGTGTTCTAGCTGCAATTCAGCAATAATTATTCCAGCCAGACAAGTTTCATTAAAAATTAACAAGAAAACTCTGTGCTTAACTCTTTCGTTATACTTTATGTTTCAGTGATGTTATAGTATTGTCGATTAGCTGCTCGAGTGTGAACTTAGCCATCATCTTTATCATGATCAGTTATGATAATTATTTCTGCTGATTTTTGTCGTTCACTGTTTTATCTACAGATGGAAGGCAGAGCACTTGTTCACCGAGAAGTTCAAGACTTTGAATCAAAGCGGTTTATTAATTATTTTCAATATTTTACGGTTTTAAAAGGAGAGTAAGTAGTGTTCTTCCTTCACAAAACACTTGATTATCGATAGCTTTTCTTCACCGATGCCATATAACCCCGTTAAGCGCGCTTTTACGCCGAGTGTAGTAAAGAAAAGTCAAAGTACCACATCAAGTAAGAAAAAAGGAAATACCTCAAGGACCTGATGAGATCGCCTGTACCAGGCGTACAGGGGCGGTGCGAAAGTAGTGCAGAAAAGAAATGAAGTATAGAACTGATTTGATCACTAGCGGTCTTTCTGCGATCACTCCCAGGCCAGAAAACGCAGAGTATATATTAACAGTTATTACACGGTACAAGATTTCAAGGTAACCCTTTTGCACCTTCCGTAAAAGACGACATCCCCTTCAAATATTTCGACAAAGACAACCCCTACCCATGCTTCAACTAGTGATATTTTCCGCAGGCCCCAAATGTACCGGCATCCCTTTCGAGTGATGCATCATGATACAAGTCTTCATGGGTTGTGCTGTCCAGGATATGGCTGTTTTGAAAAGACCACTTATCACTTTTTCAAAGGGATTAAATTGATATTTTGGTTCTCTAGATCTGATCAAATGGCAAACTGTGACCTCCGCTCTGAATACAAGACACGGCTTCTCCGTTTGACTGGACCAAATGCTGCGGTAAAGTTCAACAGAAAGTACAAATTCTATCATCAGGGAGCTACAGCTCAGTCGTTTTTGATACTCGAACGGAAGGAGAATGCAAATAATTTTGATGCGCTTTAATATCAGACAATCAATTGGAAAGACCTCATGACAAATTATTCCTTAAAATAATTCTGATGCAAGCATAAAAAGGCGGCCGAAAAGCTTTTAACTTTCGACAGTTTCTTGCATCTCAGAAATGTAGGTCAGATCAAGGTAAAGTTATCCCTTAAACTCTATGAAAATGTTGGCAAAATGTTGCCAAGGAAAACATCGACGCACGAAATAGTGCGTCACAAGCCATTATCGCACTCGTGTTCGCCTGTAAGATTCCAGGATTTAACACGACATATAGACAGGGCTTTACGTTTTAAATATAAATTATGTGATTTCTTTCCGTGTTATTGGTATATTAAAAAATAATTGGAAATCAAATGGTAATAATCACCCAATAAGAAATTAAACTAAAAACAAGTGCATGTCTAACGCGCGCGAAAACCAAAATAACCATGTCACGTGGTCGCGATTGACTTCAGTCTCGCAGCTGAGAACAGCGAAAATTTGTAGTGCAGGAAAAAAACAATACAATCATCCTGGAATACTTTAAAAACTCAATTGAAATTTTTTTCCTCAGACCCTCAAGAAAATTTGATTTCTCCTCTATCCTATAGGGAAAGATTTGCGTTCGAGAGACGGCAACGAAGAGGGGAGCACTGGACTCGAATGATGTGTTTATAATTGACAGTGGACTCAAAATTTACCAGGTAATGACGCCTCGCATGGGTAAGCATTGTACTAAATACCTTCGATGGCACAAGATGTTATTTATGATGGATTTGCATGAAAACATTTTTTTTTCTCGTCTGAAAATTTTGGTTTTCTTTATTCCCATTATTGCTATCAGCAAAAATTATATTTAAAAAAGTACACAGAATTATTATATCATTTCCTTGGTTTTCAGTGGAATGGTATGTTTAACAAAGATAGAAAGAAGGCTGAGAAAGCTACTGAATACGCCAAACAGCTTCAGGTAAACAACTCAAGTTCTGTCTGTTTCACAACAAATTAAACCGTGTAATAGCTCGCTTAGCATGCTCCTTTGCAGTAGGAAAACAGGCAAGCTCTCACGGTATAGGAGAGGGAAATAGGCTCGCACAACGTTAAAAATATTTCCTCCCTCCTCAGCTTTCAAGACGTGGCTCTTAACTTCAGTGAAACGTAAACTTTTCTGATGAAAGATTCTGGTTTGAGCTCCATGCATTGTAGTCTTTCATGTTGAACTCCATGATCTATACTTTCAAGGTCAAGCTAGAGTAAACAAAGCTTGTGCTCGCTGCCTGCTATGACGAGTATAGAGTTTTAAGTTTGAGCCTCTGGGTCTAACTTCAATTGATTCTCTCATTGAAGGCTGAGCGTGGAACATCAGGATTCACTGTGGTCATTGTTGGTGAGTTGTTGTTCTGTTCTGGTTGTATCATATATGTAGTACTACTTACAGCTCTGTTGAATGTTGATGACACGTGTGCGAATGCCAGAATGCCCTGGTCAAAAATGTATAATCTAATTGGTTGACGCAAGTTTATGGCCTATAACGCCCAATTAAAGGTTCCCAACCTGATCTTCAAAATGGAAACCGAAATCTTATTGTTTGATGACTAGAGAGTTATTTCCTCTAACGTTGTTTTTAAATACAACAAAAACACTGGTATGTGCCTGAGAACATCAAGTTAAGAGTGCAACTCGAACGTAATTCATGATTCCCTAAAATGTGACTTGAACTGAAAAGTCTCAATCCTTCTCAACATTCCACAACTTTCTTTTCATGCGTCTCTCGATCATTGAAGAACGATTCATATTTTATTTTTCTCATTAGATGAAAGCGAGAAGACAAAGAACCATGCTTTGTACGATCTTTTCCCATATCAGGCTAAAAAGCGAAAACCATCCAGACAAGAGGTAAGCTGGAATCGAATTTAACAGTTTAATTTTGTTATATGGCATTCAATGACTTTATAGAGCCATCAGCCTTCTAATTTATGTGAGTTAATTAATCACCTTTGATAACTTCATTATTCTTACAGTCTATTGCACTAACTGTTGGACAACTTCAGAAGAAAAAAATGATGTTTACCGTCAGTTTGTAAGTGTTTCAGGAATAATTTTTATCACGAGAGACTAAACCATAATCCAGCATCTATGGTCAGAACTGTGCGTGTCACCTCAGTAAAGAGGCAATGTAACTATTGAATTTAGGGAGGAATGAAACTTAATTTAATCAATCATCAATATATAAATGAGTGAATTTTTGGATCAAAGATTGCCATTAATTCGTTCATTCAGTGAATGAACGAATGAATGGATGAATGATTAAACACATAGGGGAAACAGTGAGAAATCTTAATATTTGCCAACCATATCACCCAGGACTCCTCGACTGGAATTCAAGAAAGTTGCTGAAGGAGCAGATCTGTGCAGCCGAAGGATGAAATCTGAAGAAGGTCTGAGATTATTATGATAACAACAGATCGGAGGCGACATCCTACATGACAGTTCATTTGCACTTTGTAAAGAGATACTATAGTTCAAAACTCAGAAGAATATTTTTGGATTTCCTGCGCTAGGGAAAACTTCATATTGTCCACTACTTATTGTCTGTGGCTGCAACCTGCCTTCTCTTGCATAGTATTCAATGTTTCTAATCTGATACATGTATCGTGGTGGTTTTCGATCCTGTTTCATAAATTCAAGTTATAATCCTTTATTTTATTGGACTGCATCCCAACGCCCAACGGTTTGTTTAAGGAAAAACTCGATCGTACTTTTTCAACCATTGATATGCATTAATAAAACCAGTCATATCTCCACGTCACGTACTCAAGCTTTCTCTTGGGGCCAGCCCTACAGCCTTAACTTGCTCGATGTGATGTCTACTTTTATCCTGAACGATTGATGTAACCAGAAACATATCACGTAATCCTCTTGCTGTGCCGCCCCTCGTAAAGTCGCCCTCATGATGGTGCAGCATCCTTTAGGAATGTGATCTCATTCCTTTTTGATGCGGATTTATTATTAATATTTCTACAGTGACCCTTGTTGATGTGCGTTTCGGAAAAATGGATGCAGAAGACCATTTGTTCGTTCGAGTTGGAGAAGACTGGGCAGGCGACAAGAACAGTGGCTTGATGTATGCACATGTAAGTAAAGGAATGATGCTCGCAGGTGAGCTGCAATTTTCAGCAATTTCAGAAAAGAAGCCTTAAAAATTCAGGCTTCCACGGAATTCAATCCCTGCCTCCCAGGTAATAGTTGGGTGCTACTATCAACTGAGCTACGAAACCGCACGTTCACGTAATGCAACGGGGGGACATTAGAGAGGGTTTTACTTGATTATGAAATCTTCGTTGGGCTGAAATGATAATTTTATGAAAGGTAAAAGAAAAGTGAAAAGGTCAGCAATGTAAGGAACTCAAGTGAAACATTTTGATTCATTAACAGCACTACCTTAAGCAGTGCCCAGATGTGGACCAGCATCCCACTATTGCCGTCACTGTGGTCAAGGAAGGACAACTGTCCACTCAATTGAATGGCGCAATAAGCTCATAGGTAAGCAATAACTTTGACTTGCACTGACACAAGAAAGGTAGCATCAGTGCACAATCACACTCTGGGGTATCTGTTAGCGATCTGATACACTGTTTGCATGAGGAGAGATTGTTAACTCATTTCCTTCCATCGAGGTATTAGACATGCGCAACTTATCTCAGTCTACGAGAAACCTAACTTTATTACGAAAGAGGTTTTTAGATGATACCGTTTTAAGTGCTAGACCCAAGATGTAAAGCTTTCTATGGTCATACTCACCAGATGCACTCTCCTACAATTACGTTCGTGATTGTTTAATAACCTCACCTGACGACGTGACTTGACGTGTAAAACTGATTTGAAGAATTCGTGTTAAATAAAAAAAAGGGAGGCATATTCCGTAAATGCAAACGAGCTAACATTATTTCTGATTGAATCATCATTTTTTCCAGATTCAACCGTCGTATCAAAGCAAGTCCTCGAAGATTAATCACAAGATTAGTTTAGATTCCAAATAAAGAAAAATCCATTGTTTCTTCCACTTATGCAATGCAATTCTAGGAACTCCTTGAATTTCAATATCATAGTAAAAGGCAAACTGCTTTGTTTTAATAATGCAGGTTTACAGACTAATGAGAAGTTTTGTCTAGAAGTTGAGAACAATAAAAGCATTAAACCTAAAGAGACTTTTTCATTTTTAGAGCCCCGCTTTTAGACGTATAAAAAAGCTACTATTCCATGATTTGTAGACAGCTGTCAAGTCCGATTGCTCGACGCTAAAAGATTTTACCATCGAGCTGGTGGATTATAACCTCTCTAAGTCCTGCGCGCAAGTAGAGGCTGAACTAGTCAAAATGACTCTCAGGCAAATGGATGCTGGTTAAAACTTGTCCATAGCAATACATCATAAAACTGTGCCCTAAAAATGTTTACGAGACCAAAAGTTACTCGACACAGGCTTAGTCACAAGACATGTTCCCGTATTTTGCCATTTCAAGGGACTTCAGACTTCTTGTAGAAGTTTCTCGCCGTGAACGCCTTTTGGGAAATCAGCGGGAAATACTTCTTTTCGTTCTGTTTGGTTTTTTCGGCCACGTTACTTGAGAAATACTCTGCATTTAGCAAGTTTTTGGTTGTTTCAACAAAATGGCGGGCGTGTTGGGGAGTGAGGCTCAGTCTCAGAAGTTAGGGGAGTTCGTCAAAGTATGTTCTAAACTTTACATATCTTAGCAAGGGGGAGAATTCGGAAATCTATTGAAGAAAATTTTGGCTTTCCAGACCGATGAACATGCCTCCAACACCAAACGGCATAAGTATATAATAAAATTGGACCCGTATCCGAGTGCGATAACAAAACTGGCTCGGTGAGGCTCGAATGCTCCCGGGAGATTCCGATTTTTCCTCTATCCCTTACTACTGACACACGTTTATGATACATATTTCTTGGGAAAGATGAAAAATCAAAAATAAGATGCTTGATTTTCACCCATCACCATTCGGTATACCACAATTACAACTGTTATGAATTGCGTTCATAAAATAGAAAATACCCACAAAATGTGAATCTATTTTAAGGTGTATAAATCGCATTAAGTTCATTTAAAACAGTTGAGTAAGTGGAAATATTACTTTAACCTTGTCCACTCGAAATTCCGCGAGCTTTTCGTGTAAAGACTGCCACCCAGATTATCAGGGTTCTCGACTTTCTCCTAAAGTTTTGTTACGTTGACTGGCCTCAATCGGTTTCATGCGGGATCTAGAACCTTCCGCCATGAGGGGCAACTCTACGAATCCCAGACACCAGGTGCTGAAATAAAATATTCAAAACATATATGGTTAAATAAACAAAAAAGTCAAAGATAAAAAACAATAGCGTTTAACCAAGGTTACGGTACAAATACACCGCAAGGCCAATCACAGCCCAGATTACAGCGGGTGGTGAGATGATCCGTCAGGTGACTAGCATATCTTATGCATATTGAGAAGTTTATAAGCTAGGTGCAGCCATTAACTATCTGCCGCCGTGGAAAACTTCCTTTATTGATCGCGTTGCAAAGGTTTTTCAGTGATTAAAAACAATCATGAGTGGCTTGGTGAAACCAAAGCAATATGACTGGAAAGATTCTAACCTTGCCATGTTTGGTAGCGACGAAGAGAAAAAGGTGAGTTCTCTTACAAGAGCAAAAAAGTTATTAAAGTTTGAAATGCGAGAAATCCTCAGTATATCACAAATAACATCTATAACGATGATTCTTGTTTTTATGTAGTTAAAAAAATCTGCTGCCATGAAAGAGCCGGCATGGACAGGATGTGAAAATTTCGAAGGTACAAAAATCTGGAGGATTGAAAAGTTTAAGGTGACAATAATTTTTCTACAATTTGCACTCGTATTATGGCAGCTTGTTTCAATTGCAGTTTCAGTCAAGATCTCGTGATTACTCAAACGTGATTCAATTCTAACTACGTTAAAAATGTAATAGCGAGCGAAAATCGTCACCAATTTCTTAAGAGCAAGATAAATCTTTTATTTTTTTTTTATTCCACTGAATCAAAATTTAGAAACTATTCAAGTATTTTTAGAAGTTTCTCAACATTTCTCTGATTTGCACCATAAAAGGAAAAATATAAAAATCTCCTACGAGCAGAGAGACTTCCTGTGGCGTCTTTCTTTGAAGCCATCGCAAACAAGTGTTTTTTTCTTTCAAAAGTCAAAAAAACAAATTACCATATTTGGTGGGGATTTCTTGTTAGAATAAATCACCTCTCTTTATTGTCGCCGTCTTGAAAACTCAATTTTCCAAGACTCTTAAAAAATGTAATTTTGATGAATAAAACAAGAAAGCATGCTTGAAAAGTCTGCAGTAAGGGACGAAATGTTGCTACATCTGATCATTGCAACGTGTTACAGAGACCGGTTGAACTTCTGATTTGGTTGAACTGATCACCAAAGAACACTTACCCTGATCGTTAACATATTTTCAAAACGGCTATTTTTGATAAACGTATGCAGACCAGTAAGAAGAATTTGAACAGGGATGTCGCAGGGTTAATTTTATTTCTCTGGCCTTACCTATTCTGTTTTTTTCTTAATGCGCAGGTCAAAGACTGGCCAAAGTCAGAATATGGAAAATTTTTCGACGGTGATTCTTACATAATTCTTCACAGTGAAAAGGATCCAGACTCAAATGTGCGTTAACTTATCTTATCTAGAAGTAACCAGCTCGCTTTCGGAGTGTTAATACAAGGTCTTACCAACATATTACAACAATGAATTTTGGTCGCTGTTACATAAGTTACAAAATATGATAAATGAAAATCACTATAAAGGAGAGAAACCGTTTGTCAACAATTATCTTTCAGACCTTTCTTCGTTTTATGAATTGTGTGGGTTTTTTAAAAAGTGTAAACTTGTGCGCAACTTATGGTTTATGCACTTTGCAACTTTTTTACCAGTTTAATATTTCCCTTTCTTTAGGAGTTAGACTTCGATGTTCATTTCTGGATTGGCGGTTCCTCCACCCAAGATGAATATGGGGCTGCAGCTTACAAAACTTTAGAGCTGGACACATATGTAAGATAATTACTACTGATTAAAAGCTCTCGTCAAGAGATATCTCAGCTAAATAGTGCTCTTTAAGGCAAACGAGCGTGTATAACGGCCAAAAAAAAAAAACATAGCACCAAAAACAGAAACAAAACTTTGGCATTGCAACCAGTTTACCGTGGCTTGCTTTAATCGCTCGAAAATGATGAGGTTGCCGATGAGATTTCCCTCCAGATGTCGTTTTACGGAAACTTAATCGCAAAAGAAACATCTGAAGCCTAAAAGTGTCTGGCTACTGACGGGAAAGTGAAGATAGAGAGTCTGTGTGAGAGTTCCTACTGAGTTTTGGTGAGGGGCGTGCGTTAAGATGGCCTCCAAAATATTTCAGACTAGCAAAAACGGGGCGCTCAATTAATTAAGTTAGCTTTTATCACGAGCACAAATATTCACCTTTGATCTATTTTTTCTTTAGCTGGATGACAAAGCTGTTCAGCATCGTGAAGTTGGTGGTAAAGAGTCAGAAGAATTTCTTGATTATTTTGGTGGAAAAATCACCATTGAGGAGGGCGGGTAAGTGGATAAAGCAATATCAACAACTCCATATCCTGTTGAAGCCCGAGCCAAACTTTGAAGGGAAAGAGATATCTTCGATACACAGAGAATTGAAAGTTATCATTATCATATTACGCTGATGACAGTGTGGAAATTTGGTATATTTCTAGGTCCTATCAAACTGCTATTACATCAATTTAAAGAACCACTTAAGTTATAGTTGCAAGTCGTAACTGCAAAAAAACGTAAACCGTGAAATTAAAATGAAATGAAAATAAAGACTCGTCATTCAATGCTACATGTAAAACAATGAAAAAATACAAACACAGTTACAATGGAAACGAACTAAAGTGAGAAAAGAAAAAAAGACAAAATATTATTCAACTTTTCCAGCACTTTGACTGGTATGGAGACGAAAGAGTCCGACGCACAATCTATCTGTAAATTTATACGCAAATCGAACTTATTGCGTAAGTTCTGCACTATATGGTCATGTGACCGAAACGGCGCGAGTTTTGTGCCGCGCAAACTGATTTGGCTCCGGTCACGAATGACAAGAAGCTCTGAGTGCTGACATTTCAGATAATCTTTCAGTTATTAGAGAATGGGATCTCGTGGGAGAATGTTGAAATTTGTGATTATTCTTTTACAGAATTGATTCCGGATTTAACCATGTAGTGCCAAGCGAAGAAAGACTACCTTTCACGAGGAACCTTTTGAAACATTTTAAGAAAATACCAAACAAGGAAGGGGTAAGAAAACTTCTGCTAATTGAAGTCATCAAGCTTTTCAATGTTTCGTCTCCTGTTTTCAAGTAAACTGAACCAGTTTTTTTCCCTTAAACTTTTAATTTGCTTTCCTGGGTGAAAATCAATCAATTGGTGTCTCAGAATAGGGTGATTCCTTATCAAAACCTCCCACCGGGTTACAGTATAATCTTTCAAACATGCAGGAATATTCTATGTCTATTATCGATCTGAAATGACACCGTGTTCTTTTTTTGTGTGAAAACATTAGAAGATGGAGTATCACGCGGTGGATATGCCATACACTCAAAAGAATCTGTGTTGTGATGATGGGTATGTGGTGATCTTCTCAGAAGACAAAATGTATCAGGTAATCTTACTGACATCTTAAATAAAAATATGTCCTATTTCTCCACAAGGGAACCACTGTAAATAGTTAGCACTTTCCTCAAAATTATTTAAATTTCCTCAACACAAACTGTTCTATTTCATAATAACAATTGAGGAGAATTCAGGCTTTTCATCACAATTCCATGTGGCTGAAAAGAACTCTGCAGACACATAAATAGTTATACTATTTTAGCTCTCAAGTGGAATTATGGCAGCACGCCTTGTACTTGAATCTCTTATTTGTTCTTTTGTCAATTTTTTCACAGGTCAAGGGCAAAAATGCCAAAATTGATTCCATTTGCCCATTCAATGAGTGGATGTCTGTTCAAAAGGTATGACCAAAAAGATGGAAAAACAAGTTGACCATTCAATCACGGATTGTCATTTGATTTCAAAGGATTAAAGTGATTCCTGATTATTCTTTTCCCTTCCTTAGCATGAGCATCCAAGAGCTAAGCTACAAGTTTATGGTAAGTTTCATCTTTTTCAACTTTCACGTCCCAAGTACAAGGTTACCTTCTCGTGTCTATTCTCCTTAAAGGAAGAATGTTATCAAAACTAATATTTTTATAAACAGCACTTTCTCTAAGCTAAAACCCACGTTAATTTCTTAAAGGAAGATGATTAATCATAATATCAAAGGAAATTTTCAGTTAAAGTGGAAAGTAATCTATGATTGCTGGAATTGGCTTTGTGTCACATTGGTTTATTTTAATTGACCGAAAAAATGTGGCCTCCTTCTTTACTAATCAGAGGCAAACCTAGTCGTGTTTGACACTTTTCCATTTTTATTGGCCTTTGAGGTTACCACATTCAGCCAAAATGCATTTAAAAGCAAGTTGCTAGTTGATGTCTAAAAGCTCAAGCATAACGTCTGCTATAAAAACCTTAGCTTAAGTGTGGTATTAGTAAAATTGCCACTATTTTTTTGCCTATTGGTCTCATCTACCAGTGTTGTGTTAACGAAAGAAGTCGGTAATGTCTCACTCATTTTTGACCAGCAAAAATAATTTTCTTTCTTTCAGAGAGTCTGAACGAGCTTTTTGGCACTGAAGTTTACAAGGTACCAAACAATTGTTTTTTCGCCGACTATTTTTAAGAGTTTTTTACTCTCTAACAGGAACTTATTATCACTAACAATGATTTGTTTTGTCACTAATTATGATGATGATAATGTTTTTTATCTCCATTCTGAGTATAAGCACTCACGATTTAGTTTCATGTTTAGGGTCAGTATTTCATTTCCCTTCAAAAGCACGCCTGTCTGAGCACAGGCAAAGTTCTTCTACAATTAATAACTCAAGAGGGTTATATTTTCATGATGGAAACACACCCTTCAGACTTCATTTTAAGGCTATGCTATGCGAAAAAAACACTTAAAAGTTTGGAACTAAGCTGTCCATAGCTACTAATCAGTAATGTGCTTCACTTTATTTCACTTCATTCACTTCTTTTTCTGTGAAGACGAATGTGACAGTTTTGGCCTTTGTGCATTGTCTGCCTTGCTTTGGAGCTTTGACAATCAATCATATCAAATAGAAGGCAGTCCTGTGCGCTATTTCAAAGACATGAATAGTTGAAGTAAATTTGGGATCCATCCTATAATTAACAAAAACTCTGTTAATTTTTTTATTATTCACGAGATTTATTTCCCTTTCACAGAACGAAAGTAAATTTTGTAAGACAAGCTTTTTAAATAAGTTATTTTGCTGATTCTGAACCTCTTACCAAGCTACATGAATCTAAAATTTAACAGCAACGTTTGGAAAGTTCATTACATCACTGAATCTTTTCTTTTTTTTTTCTACAGAATGCTCCAGCCGATTTTGTGGTGAAGTTGATCAGGTTACACTATTAATAACTTTTTATTCTACGGCTCAAAAATCAACATTTAGGATGTTGAAAAGCAGTGGTAGATGCTTATTAGACCAATGATTTTAGCTTCAGGCAGCAAATAAAAGCACAATTTTATTTGCAAAGGAGAGCTGCATAATTTGCACTATTCAATAATATAGTTAATCCAAAAGGATGATGAACATATAATATAACCAAAATAGGTTACAAAGTAGCGTTCGCGATATAACTCAAATAATCCCCTTTTGGATAAAACGCAGTAAGTAAAAGATGGAAGAAGAATTCACAAAATCCAGAGGAAACGTTAACTTACTCATTCAAACACGATTATTGGCCGAGGGTGCCAGCCGCTTTGCATCGTTAACAGACTCTCTGTAACCTTGTAAAGCATTCAATGTTTAATATCAAGCCCGGTGCACATTTAGAAAGGTGTTTGGCACATACAAAATATTTGAAGTATATCTTGCTAAATTGTAACGACCTTGGCCTTTTTCAGAGTCCTCACCGATAAAAGTAAAGCAGAGTTTCGAGTTGTGGCTGAGGGAATCGAAAATATCAGTGAAGATTTACTGGACAGCGATGATGGTTTGTTGTTTTCTTTTAAGCTCATAAAAGCAGTGGTTTATTTATTTATATATCTTTATTTATTTATATTTATTTATTTATTTATATTTATTTATTTATTTATCAGCGATATGTATGCAGGCTGGCCCAGTTCAGCTTCAAGCTGGTTTGAATGGGGGCCTGCTTAAGACATAGAACAAAATTTTTTTAGAAATATAAAATACAAAGGGAGCCTACAACACAGATAATTTACACATAAGATATACAATATACGTTACATTACAAAGAATACTACATCAATGATGATGTTTGATAAGTTTCTCAAAATTAGGTAGAGAAGTTGTTTCGCAGTTTACTAGTTAGAGTATTTCTTGCTTTGCACCTTTGTAGCGAAAGGAACCTTGACATTTAGATGTTATGCCATGCAGGGGTAATCGCAAAAGGTCTCTATATCTGGTATTGTAGGCATGATATCGGCGGGAAAAACCAGTTTTATTCAAAAGATAGGCGAAAACGAGACCGTGTAGGCACTTAAAAAGTTGCAGGCAAGTGTGATATTTCCTGCGATTTTCTAAGGAAGGCCAGCTAAAAGTACTGCCTGTATTTTCTCCTTTACGCCCTTCGATGATACGAGGTGCTCGCAGTTGCAATCTGTCCAGTGGTCCCGATTTGTTTTTCTGCAGCCATCCCAGACTACACAGCTTTAGTCGAACAGTGGAAGTATCATGGAGTCATAGTGTGTGATACAGGCCTCTCGAGGAATGACTTTGCAGGCTTTCCGCGGCATGCCCAGCCTGGCAGATATTTTGGAGGCAACATGGTCGATGTGATCACTCCAAGAGAGGCCTGGATCGAGCATGACACTGAGATACTTGAACTGGTAGACCCTATTTTAAAGGTCTTGTCAAAAGCTGAAACGCTAAAAATAACAACTCTCGAGAGCCTTTGATGTTTTCCCACAAGTATTACTTTTGTTTTAGAGTAGTTAAGAAACAGATAGTTACTATCCAGCCAGCTTATGATGTTTCTTAGATCGGCAGAAAGGTAAGACTCGATTTCTCTGATGGAACTACCATTAAAGAAAAGCAGAGTGTCATCCGCATAAAGTTGAGTTCACTGGGGTTCAGAAAGAACCCTATAAACACAAATACTTTGAGTCCGGTTTGACAGATAAGTTTTTAACTATACGACCGAACAATCAGAAAAACCGAGGGAAAGCAATTTATGCAGCATAATGCCATGATCTATAGTGTCAAATGCTTTAAACAGATCTAAAAATACCATTCCTGTGAACTGGCCTTTGTCTAGGTTATGGAGAAGCTTATAAGTTAAAATATGAATTGTATTCATTTAAAAATTTTGCATGTCTTTAGAGTAGCTCATTCGCCTATACATAATACCCTAGTTAATTACAAACTGTTATGTTTTCATTCACAGTATTTCTGCTTGAGGCACCTGATCGTTTGTTTGTGTGGATTGGGAAAAATGCCAGTTCTCGCGAAAAACAAAATGCTCTTTCTTATGCACAAGTAAGTTAGTAATTATGAATGGACGAATACATGAATGAAATGAGCTAAAGGAAACTTGCCATGCATTGCTGACAACAAGCAACAGTAGCTTTCCATGAGCCTAAATGTGATTGGTCGAATTTTGTCTTAAATCCCTTTTAAAATAGTTCTTGTACTGGCTATTGAACAGGACTTTTTCCTCACTCCGCGGTGAAATTAATTTCTCTGTCTCTTCCTCCGAAAAAGTTGTAAGAAAAATTTGTCTTATGCGAGATAGTTGTACCTTGCGATTGGGTCCTGACGGTTACTGACGCAAAGTATCTGGTCTCCAGAATTTAGACATATTCGAAGCACTGTTTTTCTTGGATGTTTCGCGGGAAATGAATAATATCTACACGTGGTGGTTGCCTCCATGAGTTGAATTTGCACCCAGACGCAATGAGCTATCTCTAGTTCATTGTAAGTTTTCTGATATCGGGAGTGACATAAAAGTAAGGTGATGGACTTATGTATAAGATGCCATCTCTTTATTTAATTTCTTTTGTACAGAACTATCTGAAAGAACAAGGCCAGGAACCATGTTGTGGAGTTTCGTGTATGCGAGAAAAGGACGGCAAATACCCTGCACTGTGGAAAAGGATCATCACTAAACAAAATACTGCCGAAAAGCGAGAAAAAAGAGGTAAATAATCAAGCATCCTTGATTAACACGACATAAACTAGTACGGGAGGAAACTTTTAGTGTTGGAAGGCTAATACTCGCTGAGGGGTAAATTTTTGCGCTCTTATATTATCATAGTTGATAAAAACCAAAAGCGAGCAAGAATCAAATTACCTGTTATCACGATACTAGTTTGTAAAGTTTGTTAGACCATTAAATCATTTCTATGCAATGCAGAAAGCCAAAACTAAAATCTGGTGGAATTCGGGAAAATGACTTGAAACAGCTTTAAGCAATGAGCCTAAGTAATGAGCCTGTGTGTTACTGAGCCTGTGAAAGCCGTGCACTAACTCCTTCACTTACCAATGATATCCGATTAAAATTCTTTGCAGGAGCAGTTGGCAGACGTAATCATCATTTGTAGGATGCACTTTCTATTGAGGAGGTCAACCAGTTACGATAATTTTTCGTAACAATTTGGTTTAATTATCACGTTTATGGGGATAATGACACTTCAAAGCGCAAGTCTTAGATAGAGAGAAAGTTTAGGATAGCACCAGGAAACTGTTTTTATTATGCTTCAGTGGCTTAGATTAGCCCTTATAGCTACAGTTCCCTTTTTGAGGGAACCATTGCTTTTTTGTAGATTCCAGTTGTCCAGGGAGGGACTTGCCGGAAAACAAAGAGCTTATAGAATGTTGCCAAGAAAAATTTTTAAGTCTGTTTGCCGTTGAATCATGGAAATGAATGCTTCTTTACTCTTAGTGGCTGTCTTTTATTTTCTCTGGCTAATCAGAAAGTTATAAAGTTTCAACGCTAAACACCCACCTAATCTTCTTAACGATATGCTCAAATTCGTCCCGAATTGGAAAGACTCGCCGCCCCTTGAACCCAATTCCCCTCGGCCAAGTGGTCAGCAAGTTATTTCACCGATCGACGAACGATCATCCTACAGATTTCATCTACAAAATCGAAGTACCGGTTTCCCTGTTACCCGCAGATCACTTTAAAGCCAGTAATTAAATCTTTTTGCACACGTGTGACCACAGATCAAAAGTTTCAAACCAGTTGTAATGCATACACTATGTTTGTTTGTAAATTATTTTTTCATTTTACCCTACTAGGGTGTAATAAGTAACTTTTTCAACATGAAATATAAACATTTACGTAGCTCCTATATGCATGTTAAAATCTTGAGAATTCCCCTTACATTTTGCGAATCAACGAATTGTAAAAATGGCGTTGTAGATTCAGCGCAAGCGTTCCCGATCGATACTTAATTACTCCTGAGGTTGATGGTGACTGAATGTTGAATCAAAAGACGAATACATTGTTCGTTATACATTGGACTCTCTTTCAAGCATTTCCAATATACACTGTGTTCCACAGACGGATTCCCCGATCCTGCTAAGAGCCAAGCACGACAAAGAGCGCCTGAGTGCAAAATTACTCGTGTCGTAAAGAAAACCAGAGTTCCTTTGTTTTCCTGAAGAGTGATAAACTACGTCCAGAATGTCTTGACTTTTGTCTTCTTTATCTAAATGATCTGCACAAAGCTCGACACGAACAGTAGGTATCTCTTCATGTACGTCCCGCGTCATAAAGAGTGGGATTAGAGACAAGGTACAAGTACCTAACGCTATTGCTCCACCAGCAACGAAGAAAGCATTCTGATATGAGCCAGTTACTTGGAAAATTAACCCTTGGAAAGAAACGAACGAAAAAAATTGTAAGATTCAAAAAGTAACTTCCCAAAAAGTTCTAACATATCGGGTTCACTGCCCATTAGAGTAGTCCATTAGAGTAGTCCATTAGAGTAACCGTGGAAAGGAAAGTTTCAAAGAAAAAAGAAAGATCGAAACTAATGCAAATATTTTGCAAATAGTGAGAAATGATGGTGCAAGAGATTTTGCAGAAGAAAATTCCGATACTTGGCTGAAATGGAACCCAATAACACTTCAAGTTTCTTTAGGACATATCACCGCACCCACATAAATGCCACAAATGTGTTCCTATAATCCATCCCCCCTCCCCTATTAGTAACAAGCCCACATAAATGCCACATATGTGTTCCTATAATCCATCCCCCCTCCCCTATTAG